AAATGATTGGAGTTCATTTATTATGATTTGAATATTTATGGAATATGAATAGAGTTTATTAATTATGATTAATACTTTATATTAAGAAACAATTAATTGATTAAAAATTGAATGGTTGAGATGAGGGTTGTATAGGGTGTAGGAATGGCAAAGGGTATAGAATAACATCCCTATATATATATATAGAGAGAGAGAGAGAGAGAGTATATTTCTTTTACAACCTTGTGCATTTGTACAACCTTTGCAACCCAATTAATTGAGATATTTATAGAAATGATTGGAGTTCATTTATTATGATTTGAATATTCATGGAATATAAATAGAGTTTATTAATTATGATTAATACTTTATATTAGGAAACAATTAATTGATTAAAAATTGAATGGTTGAGATGAGGGTTGTATAGGGTGTAGGAATGACAAAGAGTGTAAAATAACATCCATATATATATATATATATATAATTGATGTGTGAATTAAGTAAGAAATGATTGTGGTTGTGAGAGTTGTGAAAAGTAGGAAAGATTCACAGGTTGTCCATTTAGTTTTTAATGAATAGTAGTAGGTTTTAAAGGGGGGTTAAAAGTCAATTTCTATTGAAAATCAAGCCCAAAAGGAAAGTTGAGTCACAAGGGCATGTCAAATCTTTCTAAAGTCAAACCTTCATCTCCAAATGGTTTATTTTTTTATAAATTAATACGTGAGAATAAAAGTTATGATAAGAAGCGTAAGAAATCATCTTTCGATCAATTTTAATTGAATCTCAACAGTAATGTGGACTAAGAAGCATCAGATCAGTTTCCTTCTAAAACGCAATTCATAGATGAGCATGAGATTAGAAATGATCAAGGTGTTAGATCTGTTTTTACATTTTTCATCATAACTTCTCTTCTCACACAATCATTCGTCTTAATCTTTTTAACCTTATAGGAACGATTCGGGTGTTAAAAGTTGTGAACATACGAAGGTTGATGTGTATTAGTAGAGAGATCCATTAAGGTTTGGGTTTTTTGGTACGGGTTTAGGTTGATAAAATAAACAATGGATTTCTTACGCTGTCTTCTTGAGTACGGGATTCCTCCGTAAAAAGGGTGTCAAAAACATAGTGTTGTAGTCGAGTCCGAAATCGGGTTTTGCATGTGAAAATAACTTAGACCTGATGTTTTTCATGACGAACTTTTTTGGGCTCGATCTGGCTAAAAAAGAAAAGGCATGGTCAAGCTTTAAGGTCCCAACTTTTTCGGATCAGGGTCCGGTAAGTCCCAGGTCGGGTTTCATACTCGGGTTTTCTTGTGCATCTTTATGTACGAGTGTGAGAATGATATGAGAGTTCATTTAACAAAGTGGAAGGAGGTTCATTTAAAATCAGTCTTTCTAAATTAATATGATCACCTTTGTTTCACATAGAAACTGGGTACGAATCAACAATTCCAAAAATTCAAATCAGGATCAAATCGTAGTCGATCATATCTGGTTTTAGCTTTTGTACAACATTTGTTTTACAAATATGATTATAGGCTCGGTCTGATTCAATTCAAATTCAGGGCCAAACTAGTTGTTTTCAAATGTGAAACTGAACTCGAGCTTGGTTCTATTTGATTCCGTACCAAATTGATTGGTTCGTCTATCGGTTGCATTGTCTTTGATTTTTCCAATGCACGTTTTTATCTCCAAGAACCCAATAAAAGGAAACCAGTATAAGATCAATTGTTATCGAAACATTTATTTTTGTATCTACATATTTACCATATTATAAAACATTTGTCAAACTTTTAAAAATAACTTAGAGATTGTTTACCGAACGCTTACCCAAATAAGCAGTTACCAAGTCACATTATGTTACAGATGAATATGATAAATACCAAAAATTTTACCTGGTAAGAGCGAAGGCCAAGACTTTGGAGTCTTACCCAGTTAGCGTTTACTGAGTAAATTCTTTCATACAATTAGGGGTGACCATGGGTTGGGTTGATCGGGTTGAAGACATTTAAACAACTCAACTCAATGCTTGCGGTTTGAAAAATCTTAACTCAACCCAACCCGTACGGGTTGGTCGGGTTGATACTTTGATACATTAAAATATTCTTCTCACCTAGAATATGTTATTTCTCTACTTATAATTTCTTTTTCATGATCAACCATTTGATACAACTTATCGATACTTCTTACGTATATCACATTCAGTTAATTTTCTCAATTTACATATATATGTTCACAGTTACTAAACATATATACGAATGAGTTATATAAAGATGTGAATAGATTGAAAATATGTGTATATGAAGAGCATACATGATAGTGTAATTGTATAATGTACATATTAATAGAAATTCAACAATCATATTAAATCCAAGAAATAAAAGAATATTAGGTTCATCGAGTTGAGTTCAAAAGTAACCCGATATCAACCCAATACCTACGATTTGACAATTTTACAACTCGATTAGACATCGGGTTGAATTATTTCGTGTTGGGTTGGGTTGATCGGATTGGTCGGGTTTTTTAACACCCCTACATACAATACCATTTTTAATAATAAAAAAAATCTTAAAATTAAAAAAAATCATATTCTTTGAATTATAAAGAATATGTTTGATGCTATAAAATCAAAGAAAGAATGCTAATCGTGGAACTAAAACAACAAACCAGTGATTGCCACATGTTTGCCTCTGATTGGTCAAGCGGTTTTGGGGTAGCGCAACACGATAGTGGCTCTTTGGGTGTTAAAAATGGTCACCATTATGAGAGTAAGTTACATACTTAGTCCCTCAACTATGGTGAAATCTGCAAATTTAGTTTAAAAGTTTAATTTGTTATAATTTTTAGGTTAAAAATGTTTATTTATAACGATTTGGTCTTTGTTTTTCTTACTGTATATAAATTAAGAAGTAAATTATAAAGTTCGTTCTTGTGGTTTTATCTTGGTTACGGAAAATGTTCCTAAACCCTAAAATTCATGACTAGGGTTTTCAAGGTTTCATTTTCGTTATAAATATAGTCATTTACCATGGCTCTATTAAATAATTTCCGTTAAAGCTAGGGGTATTTTTAATGGCTGATCATCCTCTCGGACCAACTATTGATTATTGCTTTGGTAAGCTATTACCTCACCAACTAGCTAATCAGATGTGAGCATGCTAATGATGCGAGAAGTGAGTTTATCGCATGCTAATGATGCGAACACATTGGTTTATCGCACCATATGATGCGATGAGTTGATGTTCTCGCACCAATGTGTTGCGAGTAGATGGGGTTGTCTCGCCCACGTGATGCGAGGAAATCATGTTATCATCTATATGATGCGACAAGTTTACTCATAATGTGTTTATCAAGTTATTTGATTATTTTGATGCGATAAATGAGGTTTGTTATATCAAAATGATGTGGATTTGTTACTATTACAGAGATGAGTTTATAAATGTGATTTGGTGATTATCCACCCTGTAATAACATCAAAGAGATTTCTCACTAGACCTCAAGGTCTAACCCTTATTTTGTGTCTCAAAAATGTGCATTACAGGTCGGGCACAATCAGAGGTTAAGGGGAAGGAGAAATTGTAAAGTGTTATACATGTTTGCATGGGTTTTGGGGCTAGCATATTATTCTTTTGTATCTGAATACTTGTTATGTATTCATACCCTTTGTTGGCTCTTCGAGACAAAAGCACTCATATGAATGGTGCTAATTCCCATATGTTGTATAGAGATTTTGTGGAAAAAGTAGTTAGCTATTTTGTAATATAACTCTTGTAAGATATTGAAACCAAATGTGTAAATTATATTTCTTCATATATGAAAATATATATTTATATGCAAATGTGATCTTGACATGTTACAAGTTTAAGATTCATATGTGAATCTTAAAAAATATATATCGTCATAAATATTAAATTAAAGATTACGAAATTATTGTTTTTTTTTTCTTCTAATTAGTGATTTAAATTAAAAATGGGTAACCTAATTTATATTTAAAACAAAAAGTGGGTATTTTTTTTTGTGAAAAAATAGTGAATTAGTGATTTAATAAGGGGAAGGTTTTAAGATGTCGCCTCAACTTCCTTAGGCTCTTTTCCTTAGGCTCTTTATATTAGTTAAGAAATGTATATTTACATATTTTCTTTTTTAAGATCTTGACTATTAAAAAATCTCATCTAATGGTTAAAATATATTCTCACATTTTCAACATTTTTTATTTTTCTCATTTGAACTAACCATTATATGTCTAATATATAGGGGTAAATACCAAAAGTGTATAAACCACAAATAATCTCACAAGAAGGATAAATCATCGAGAGAACACTCTGATGATTTATTTATCAAAATACTCAAATACCCCAATAACATGCATATTTCAAGATTTATT